GGGGCGACGAAGGCGCCGGCGCGGCGGCCTAGGCGGCGACGGCCGCGTCCTTGGTCGCGTCGGCGAGCCACTCCTCCGTCTGGAGGAGCGCGGGGCGCTTCGCGCCGTAGCGCTCGGCGCCGAGCTCGTCGAAGGCCTGGACCTGGACGATCTGGTCGCGGAGCGCCGTCGCGCGGTCGACCTGTGCCGAAACCAACCACTGGTTTGGGTGGTCCTGACCAAACTTGAGAATTCTCTAGCTCGGTCAAATCGAAGTCGATTCGGCTGATTTTTTGACGGATCGATCCCTCTCGTCGAGTTCTCGAAGCCCAATTGAAGAGCTTGTGTCAAAACATTCGAATACGCTCACATTGAAGTCGGGTTGAAGATTTGGTTTCGGCACAGCGGTCGACGACGTTTTGCTCGTCGGCCGTGGGCTGCGTGCGGTTCTTGCGGCACTTGGCGGCGATGCCGTCGGCCTCGAGGATCACGGGGAGCGCGTCGAGGATGAGCTTGTGGACCTTGGCCTTGGTGAAGATGCCCGGCGTGAGGTACGTGGCGGCGTAGTCGCTGTCCCGCGTCGTGAGGAGGTCGCTGACCTCCTTCGTGAGCGCGTCCGACGGCACGGCCGTCGCCGCGCCGAGGGACCCGATCGGGCGCACGGCGAGCTTGAGCAGCGCCCCGACGGCGGCGTGGGCGCCCAGGGGCATGGCCGGCACGTTGTCCGCCGCGTGGATGAGCGCGTCGTGCGCCTCCTTCTCGAGGCGGAGCAGCGCGTGCTCCGCGACGGTCTGCAGCCCGCCGTCGCTCGTCGCGTGGTTCCGCGCGTAGTGGTGGAGCGCGCCGTAGCCGAGGAAGATGGCGCCGACGGAGTCGGCGAGGCGGCCCATGAACATCTCCTCGAACTTGAGGCGCCCGCCGAGGAGCAGCGCGAGGTCCGCGGCGAGCGCGAAGTTCGCCGAGAGCCGCGCGAGCCGCGCCTCGTGCTTCGCGAGGAACGCGTCCGGCGCCTCGTGGCCATTCCGCTCGCCGGACCCGGAGAAGGGCAGCGCGGCGCGCGCGCCGCTCGCGAGCGACCGGCCGAGGTTCGCCGCGCCGTGCTTCGCCATGGCGCCGACGCCGGCCATGAAGCGCGCGGGCGCGCCCTCGTCGTCGGCCTCGAGGGCCTCGACGACGTCGAGGAGGTGCGGGTGGCAGCGCATGAGGCCCTGGCCGATGATCTGGAAGGACCGCGTCATGATGTTCGCGCCCTCGACGGTGATGGCGATGGGGAACGACATGTACGCGCCGCCGATGTAGTTCGAGTCGCCCATGGAGATGCCCGCGCCGCCGAGCACGTCCATGCCCGCGTTGACCATGTTGCGGCCCCGGTCCGTGACGTTCTGCTTCATGATCGAGCTCAGGACCATGGGCGCCTCGTGGTTGTCGACGATCGCGTTCATGAGCTCCGTCGACGCCTGTGTGGAACTCAAATCTTCGACCCGACTTCCGCGCGCGCGTACTCGAACGGTTCGGACCGGCCTCTTCGACCGCGCTTCGAGAGCTCGCCGAGAGCGATCGATCCGTCCAAAAATCCGCCGAATCGACTTCGAATTGACCGAGCTAGAGAATTTCAAAGTTTGGTCGAGACGTCCCAAACCAGCGGTCGAGTTCCGCGCGGGTCGACGCGAGCGAGATGTAGCCGTCGGACGCGACGAGCGCGCACGCCTCCTGCACGCCCCCGAAGTCGGCGATGGGCACCTTGAACTGCTTCCGCGCGCGGCTGTAGGCG